AGCCACATTCAAAGCCCTCAAGGGGAAGGCTAGACCCAGGCTGAGAAAAGGCTCACTGCTGACTTGGGTCTGGAAGGGGATGTTGGGAGAGGGGGAGGCTGGGGCCTGGAGACTCCAGAGGGAACAAGGGCCACAGACATGCTTGGCCCCACAGCCCAGCTTAACTCCAGGTCATTAATCACTGTGGTGACAAGAATGCTGTCATATACTAGTCTGATGATGCCATTTGTGCTATTGTTGTGGGAGAGGGTACTGTCCACTCTACACATCCCACCTCTTAGAGAGACTCCCGTGACTCCCTCTCTTGAACAGGCTTCATTCAAACTCCCACCTAAGTGTACCCTGTCTCTACCCTGTGCCCCTGTCACTATGGCCACCCTACCCTGGCCACTCTCTGGAATCCAGGCCTGGGCACAACCCTCCATAAGGCACTGACAGGGGCAGATGCCCAGCAGTGGGTTGGATCCATGAAAACACCCCCTTCTATGACAACTTAGATGGGCAGGTCATGCCAGGGCCTGTGCACCCCTTCTTGTCGTGGTCGCCACTGGACTGTCAAAGCTGTCCTGGAGTGTGTGTGTGTGTGTGTGTGTGTGTGTGTGTGTGTGTGTTTGTGTGTAATCTGCAATATGCACCATGAGTCCGAGTTCTGTGTCTGTGGGTATTTTGACTCTGGTAATGAGTTTTCTCCCATTTTCTAACCATGTGTCTTTCTCCATGTTTGTGTGTGTGCATGTGTGTCTGTGTCTCTGAATGAGTATGTTTGTCGTGTAAATCTTTGTCTGTGGCTATACTATGTTGTTGGGTGACCTATATCCCTGAGCTAGTGACTGGATGTATATATGTTTCATGTCTGTGTGTATTGGTTGTGTGTGAATTTGCTCCCCTTTTGGTGTTCCTGATCATACCTGTATGTAAGTGTGTGTATGTTGTCTGTGTGTGTGCATCCAGTGTATGTAGAGCTTGTTTCATGGGGCTATTTCACATGACCCTGAGTGTATGTATCCTTTTGTGTGTGTGTTCCCATCAGAGTGTCTATGTCTGCTGTGTGGGAGTGTGTGTGAGTCTGTCCATGAGCCCGATAACTGAGTCCCCAGATGAACCTGTGGGTGGCTCCATGCCTGTGTGTCCCTGTGGTTGTGGTGCCCATTTCCTTCTCTGCCCGTGTGTGTCTGTGCACCTCAGAAGTAAGCAGCTGCAAAGGGGGCCCTTCGAGGGTGACTCCTGGGGTGGGTGAGTAAGAGACACTATGTGCTTCCCCACCTTCAGGCTCAGCTCTCTCTGCCCATTTTTCACCCGACCTCCAGTGTCCTCCCTTGTGGTGCCACCTCGGTCCCCAAGGATGGATGGAGTGAAGGGGCAGCTCACAGGACCACAGGCCAGCAGCTGGCAGGGCTGCAGATGGCAGCAGGAGGTGATAACGTGTGGGGAGGGCTCTGGGCCCCTGGCGAGGCCGAGGGATTCCTGGGCCCTGGGAGGGGTGATGAGTGGGGGCCCCTTGAGAGGGCTGAGGAACAGAGCTCCTGGGCACCCTGGAAGGAATGCGGGATTGAGCACCTCAGGAAAGAGCTGGAGGAGTCCTGAGGGACTCACGGGTCCCCAAAGGGCAGATCCCTCACTCACCTGTGCTGGTGCAGGTTGGGGGCCTGGGGCAGCAGCAGCAGTCAGAGGCAGCAGACGCAGCAGATCCATGGGATGGTGGATGGAGCAGTGAGCCATGGTCGTGCAAGCAAGTGGAATCACCACTCTGGGCTGCCCTCAGCCCCTGACCCCTTCCCCAGCCACCTCAATAGATCTGACCCAGGCCTCACCCTCCAGCAGGGCATGGGCAAGCCAGGCAGAGGTGGTCACCTGGGGCCCCAGGAGTGTCCCCCCTGACCTCTGTGTCCTAGCTGTGGAAACAAACAATGGAACAGCCCAGAAAATGCAAGGGGCCTGTGCGGCTCGCTGACCATCTGGCACTTTAGGGTAAGCACTTGGTTGCCCTCCTTAGTACTTGGCCCACCACTGAGGAATGCCAAGTTGCTGCAAAGCCTCCAGGGTCTCATCCAGGCCAGGGATGGAACCTGCTGGAAAAGCAACTCCTGCTGTTTGCCCACACTCAGAGGCACTGGGTCGTTGGAAGCAAAGAAAACCATTCCTGCTCTGAGGCGCCCTGGATCAGAAAAGGCTAAAGGCCATCACTGCGTACGCAAAGGAACCGCCCCTCCTTGTTCGACGTGCGTGCGCGCCCTCTGCTGGCCGCGTGGGAATACCTGCAATGCTCAAGGCCATGGCTGTTCAGCAGGAGGTATTTGAAGGTCCTCAGGTCCAGCTAAAGCCTGTTCTCCAGACTGGGAACGGTCTTAGTAACATAAGCTGGGACATAAAGAAATGTTTTCCTCCTCCTTTCTTGTCAGTAAAGAATGAAACCGAATTTATTAATGTAATGATATAATTTGTAATGCTTTAAGCAGCATTCCCAGAAATATAGACTGCAAATTTACACATGCTGAACTACAGGCAGTGATGTTAACCACGAAAATACTTGGGTTCAATAAAAACTTGACACCTTTGAGAAACAGATACAGGCTTCCAGCGATGGAATGAATAAGTCATTGGGATACAAGGCACAGCCTATGGAATTTAGTCAATCCTGTAATAAAGTGTTGCATGCTTTCACATGATAGCTACACTTGTATAGATATATGGATTGCTAAATGCATACATACAAAACCACTATGATGTATGCCTGAAGCTAATATAACATGGTGTGTCTACTATATTTCAATAGAAAACTGACAATATTTTAAATTTCTGCTTCACCATTAAAAATTATTTCTACTTGAGAACATATGAAATTCCATTTATGCCACATTTTCTGTAGTCACCATCTTGATGTCAAGAGCTTATTTGTCACGTTTTCAATGTGGCTGATTACACAAATGTGACAAGGTCAGAATGCATACCTGGAGGGAGCTACACATCTGTTATGAATTTCCTGCCTGTATACGGGTAATATTTTCAATGAAAAGTGCTTTAGGGATGTGCATGGATGAAGTAATTTCCATCAGACTCATAGGTGGATGGTTTTATTCTTCAAATAATAATTGCCATCACTTCACAATCAGAGGAAGGCTGGTGGATGAAATAGGTTTCCTCTTTGATATAAGGCTGTGGTATTTTAAACAGCTCACTTACCATCCAAAAATCCAGAGATCAGAAGCAGATGTAGGAATAGCAGCCCATTATCATGTTGCATATTCCAGAAGGAGAATATGGATCTTATTCTCAAATACTTTTGGTTGAGATCAATAATCCATCTTTGCAAATTCCAGGCTGTAGGCTCTGGAGACCACACATTGCCTAATGCCTGGTGTTGGAAGGTAAGGAAGTGCTGGAGCAGGGGGAATGGAGCAAGGACTAGGGGCAGTGGGGGGACAGGTTATGGTTACCTCCCCATAGGGCACACTCAGGAGTTTGCTTCTAATGAGCTGCATACTGTCTCTCAAGCCATCTCTCTCCATGACCGATCCTGAGACAGGGCCATAACACTCCAGGCAAACTGAGGGGGCCCCCTCTTCCCAGGGGCTATGGCCTCTACAAAGCTTGCCCCAGTGAGGTTAGAGCCTTACACTCAGGGAACTGTAATTCCCGGGTTTCCTAGCCTTTCTGCTCCCAACACTAAGCATCTTCACAGAGCCCCTCTTGTGTGACCCATCACCCTCTCTACACATTGTGATGAGCTCCATCCTTTCCTCCTTGCTTCCTCTTTGTCTCTGCTTCTCTCTAGCCCTGTCTCCATCTGTTTCTCCCTCTCACTCCCTAGGACTTGCCAAATTCCCTCATCACTTACTCAGTGTCTCTCTCCCTGCCTGTCTCTCTCTCTGCCTCTCTCCAGGCCTTGGGCCTTCTGTTCTATGCAGCCCTGTCTAGGAAACAGGACCCACATCTCCTGTGTCCCCCCTCTCCTGTCATGTTTTAGCCCAGCCCCTAATCACAGTGGATGAGAACCCGTTTACAGAAGCTGCTCATGGTGACCTTTACTGCAGCATTGCTCTTCCCAGCCACTCCTGGGAAGTGTGTGGACAGCCAGACCTTGACCCCTTGTGGAACCAGCCATGATCCAAAAGTTGCTTGAAAGCTGGTTGCCTTCACAACCTGGGAGGAAAGATGGTTCTGCAGGCATCGGGGGCTCTGGGGCAGAATGCATGGGATTTGAGGACTTGGAAAGAGCCAGACGCTTACACTCAACTCCTCCTTGTGGTGATGGAGGAACGGGTATCATGTCATTGACCTCTGCCCTGTCCATCCCTCAATAAGGAAACAATGGGAGCAGGAGCAACTGTAAATTCTAGCCTCTCATCAGGTTCTGGGATGACAGCTCAGAGCCTGGAGCCTGCTTTGGATTCTGTGTCTCCCTCTTTCACTGCTCCTCCCTTGCTTGTGTGTGCTCTCTCGCACGTGCGTGCAAAAAGATTAAACATTGCAAAAAATTAAAAGAAAAATAAACAGTGGGAGGTTATGGAACATCCTAAGACTTACCCCAACACCACTACCATGAGTCCACCTCAGTGCCCACTTGGACTGGTGCTATAAAGAGGTAACTGATTGGTGGGGAAAGTCCACAACATCTGGATTAAAGCAGAGTTTCCTCGCTGGTCTACCAGACACTGATGACCCCTCATCCATTTCTTGCAATCAGAAATCAGCAACTTCCTGGGGACTGAGAGCTGGCTTGCTGATCACCACATACCGCTATGACTAGCAGGTGCCATGTGCTTGTGAGTATCTATCGAGTGAACAAAATCACCACCAGATCTAGATGAAGGTTGGGTCCACCACCCCAGAAGGAACCAGGGGGACATGTGCAGTCAATACAACACAAATAATGACTCCTCTTCTGCCTCCATTACTGTAGATTCTACCTGTTTGTGACAGGATATACAGGAGTCACACTGTGTGCATTATTAACAGAATGACAGTAGGTCTTCCTGGAAGCAGATACTGACACAGAGACAGAACTGTGATGAGTTTATTAGTGGAAACCAGGAAAGACAAAATAGAGGGGACAGGAATGGTCAGGGAAAGAATTTAGTCAAATATACATATCAGACAACTTTTCTAAATATATCATATCACCACACCCTATTTGTCACAGTTCAGGGTCATCTTCAAACTTCAAATTCTCCTGGAAGACAAAGAGATTTTGGGTTATTGCAATGGGATCTTCTGTTCTTCTCTATGCATTTTGTCTTCAACAATATATGTGTGGCCTTGGATGAACACTTAATTGTGTGGCTTCATTTGTGTGTCTATCTGTAATGAAAGACAATTTTCTTCAGATCTTAGATATAGGTCTCTAAGTGTACACATTCTCATACTTATCTTTTTCTTCTTTCTATAGTAGGACCTGAATATTAATAGAAAAAACACAGGAGTCTTTGCCGTACCGTTTGAAACAGGGATTGCCAATCTCATCATCAGGCATTATACCCTTAGTGTAATGAAATTGCATGAACATCTGTTGATGATCTTCTGTTTAAAGATCCATTCATTTACACCCTGAGAAGGATGAATGCCCACTCATCCCATACATTTTACAAGTTCCTTATGTGCTCATCACTGACCTCAGAAACCAACATTATCCCTGTTTCTCAGATTATAAAACTGAGGCTCTGAGACAGCCCCAGTAAGAGCTGGTGTTAGAGCTGAGACATCCAGAACACAGGCAACGCCTCAGGATATTGTGAGAGGAGTTCCGGAGATGCAAACCTACAGGCAGGGTGGTGACAGCAGATTCAGGGGAGTGGTGACAGGAGTCCAGCACGGGCGGCTACTGGTCAACCCTGAATTCCCTGCTAAGAGTCTACTCAGGCTGAAGGCCAAGGAAGCTGCTCAGCTGGTCTACAAACTGTCTTCACCCAAAGTCTCACTGAGACACACAAAATTAGGCAGGTAAGCATTTCCTAAGACCAAGTTTAATTTCCCAGATCTCCAGGACATTCTTTCATACATGTCCAGACCCTTCAGAAAACCAAGGGAAACAACAAACTTTATTTAGATTATGAACTAGGTGCCCTGTGGTAACACTGACATTTCAGAGATGATGACCGCATTGGACACTGTGCTTGAACCCCTGCCGTAGTTCTTTGCAGATCTCATGCTGTCCTTATGATCCCTGCCCAGCCTGCAGGTACTGCCAGAAATGACCTCCAACTCCATCTCACTGACCCAAACATCCTCCCCTCTGCACCTCATCTCACTCTGCTTACCGTCCACAACTTCCCTTCTATTCCTGTGTGATTCAAGTTCCCCCATTCCTTCACTGGTGCTTCCATCATGGTGATCACCAGGTCTGTGTCATATAATGCATGTGCCCCCTTTCACACGGGACACCCGAGGCACCTAAAGTTAGGGGTGTGCCTCATCCTTCACAGAACCCACAACCCTGTGTCTGTAAAATACACATCAGTACCTCTGATATGTCTGTCTTTGTGTAAAAATCCTCTTTCTTTTTGACAAGAGAAACGTATAGCTCACCTCATTATGGGGAAATGACACAGCCCATTGTATGTATATCCTGAGAAACTTGAGGTATGTTACACTGTCTTCAGGCAGGTGTGCAGTAGAATTGCCAAGCCCTCACAACCATCTCTACATCATTCCCACAAAGTCAATCACGAAGAAGAGCAACATGCTTTACAAGTCCCTCATCCAGTTCAGGTCATCTTACCAAATGGAGCAGGTGGAGGAGCTGGTGGAGGAGGGGGACATGGCCCATAACCCTTGACTGGTGATGAAGTGTGGTCCATGGTGTAGGGCCTGCAAGGCGATCCTGGGAAAGGACCAGGCCCTCTTGTATACATAATGTCCTGCAGAACAGAAAGGAAAGCTATGTTCATAGGACAGAACAAAGCACCAACACCAGCAAAAGCATTAACCCAAAGAATTAGCACTCGTCTCCTGCCAGCTTCCCCACCACCAGGTTCCAAGAGGGCAGCATCAGCACCAAAGAAAACTCTACCCATACTTTGGGTTCCACTTACAGATTTGGGTGGAGAGGAATGGATGCTATGGGAAGAAACTAGCATCCCCACATGTCTGCAAATGTAGAACAGCAAGGGCTCTTGTCCTAGAGGATTTATGGAGTGAATACCAAATTAATAAAATAGCATATTCCCAATAGGAAGGCATCCAAGTCCAGGATGACCCGCCACCCCTCATCCCTGTCCACCACAGAGACTGCTTATTTGTATGTGAAGAGCTACAGAATGAGAAGGAATGACAATCCTCATGTCCACACATGGAATCATAGCTCTTGTGCCTCAAAGCTCTGCCTCTAAGCCACCACCTGTGTCTGATGTGCTTGTCTCCCAACAATGGGTTCTCCTCTCTAGTAGTGCTATCCTTGGGCACAGAGACACTTGGGGGGATGGGGATCCTGAGGTCCTGAAAAGCACCTGGAATATCATGTTCTTAGAGAAACATGTTACCTATACAGGTTAGTTGGGCTTAGCTAATTTATTTTAATTCAGAGATACTTCTCAGTTTAAGTAGAATACAATATGCAGGGTAGTCGTGTCCTCTGGAAAAATGAGCTGAAATTCTACATAACAGAATTAACACAAAATGGACTTTTGTTTCTGTTGTAAATTCCCATGTTTCACCTGTAACAGTGACACAGGACACAAGAGAACGTGGTCATGTGAGCACAAATGAAGGACACAGTGGGGAATTACAACACAGGTAATTACGGATTTTCTCTCTTCACCACTCATGTTCCAGTATATATTTTCTATGACAAATATGTCACCTTTTATAGTTCAGACTATTGAAACCAGGGGCACACCCGATTCCAGATAGCATATTTACAAAAAAACAAAACAAAAAACGCTGAATGATGATGGATATGCAATTTACTTTGTCTAAGGCCACTCTAAATGACACATACAAAATATAACTTGGAGAGAAGGCAGTTGCATTTTCAAAACATAAGGATAACCACAGTTTTTCTGAAGATGTTAATCCCCTAGACAGCAACACAACAGGAAGAAACAGCAAGAGCAATGATTCCACCCTGAGGAAGTCCAGGAAAAATGAGGCATGCGAGGTGACTACCAAGTGGAGTGGAGTGTCTTCTTCCTTGAAGAAGTTATTTCTAGGAACACACTGGAAAAGCCCTAAGGTCCTCACCTCCAAGCATGTTTGGCTTCAGAACTTACTACAAGGAGAAGACAGGCTAAAAATGAGAAGACTGTCTAGTAGACGCTTGAGTTAAGATTGTGCATTAAGAAAATAAGAAAAACAAGCAGACAAATAAAAATCAGGGCATAAATAAACAATATAGAAACAAAAGAAACAGTTGAACAGATCAATGAAACCAAGAGTTGGTGTTTTGAAAAAATAAACAAAATTGACAAACCTCTAGCCAGGCTTCTCAAAAGAAAAGAGAGAGCACTCAAACAGACAAAATCATGAATGAAAATGGACTGATTACAACCAATCATTCAGAAGTACAAACAATTATCAGGGAATAATATGAAAAATTATATGCCGACACAATGGACAACTTAGAAGAAATGGACACATTCCTAAACACACACTCAGTACCAAAAGTCATATGGGAAGAGAAAGGAAATCTGAACAGACTATAACTAGTGAAGAAATCAAATCAGTTATCAAAAATCTCCCAACAACTGGGGGGCCTGGGTGGCTTAGTCGGTTAAGCGTCCGACTTTCACTTAGGTCATGATCTCGCGGTTCGTGGGTTCGAGCCCCGCATCGGGCTCTGTGCTGACTGCCAGCTCAGAGCCTGGAGCCTGTTTCAGTCTGTGACTCCCTTTCTCTCTGACCCTCCCCTGCTCACGCTGTCTGTCTGTCTCTCTCTCTCTCCTAGAAATAAATAAAAATATTAAAAAAAAAAAATCTCCCAACAACTAAGGGCCCTGGGCCAGATGGCTTCCCTGGGGAATTCTACCAGACATTTAAAACAGAATTAATACCTATTCTTCTCAAACTATTCCAAAACATAGAAATCGAAGGAAAACTTCCAGACTCATTTTATGAAGCCAGCATCACTCTGATTCCCAAGCCAGACAGAAACCAGCAAAAAAAGAGAACTACAGGCCAATATCCTTTTTGAATACAGATGCAAAAATCCTCAACAAGATACTTGCAAATCGAATTCAAAAGCACATAAGAAGAATTATTCACCAAGATCAGTGGGTTTAATTCCTGGGTTTCAGGGCTGGTTCAATATTCACAAATCAATCAATGTGATACATCACATCAACAAAAGAAAAGATAAAAACCATATGATTCTCTCCATAGATGCAGAAAAAGCATTTGAAAAAATACTGCATCTGTTCTTAATAAAGACTCTCGAAAAAGTCGGGATAGAAGGAACTTACTTACCCATCATAAAAGCCATCTATGAGAAGACCTCAGCTAACATCATCCTCAATGAGGAAAAACTGTGAGCTTTCCCCCTGAGATCGGGAACAGGACAGGGATGTCCACTCTCACCACTGTTGTTTAACGTAGTGCCAGAAGTCCTAGCATCAGCCATCAAACAACAAAAGGAAATAAAAGGTATCAGAATTGGCATAGAAGAAATCAAACTTTCAGTTTTCACACACAAGATGATACTCTACATAGAAAACCCTACAGACTCCACTAGAAGTCTACTAGAACTGATCCATGAATTCAGCAAAGTTGCAGGGTACAAAATCAACATACGGAAATCGGTTGCATGTTATACACCAACAATGAAACAACAGAAAGAGAAATCAAGAAACTGATCCCATTCACAATTACACACACACAAAAAATATAAAATACCTAGGAATAAACCTAACCAAAGATATAAGAGATCCGTATGATGAAAACTATAGAAAACTTATGAATGAAATTGAAGACACAAAGAACTGGAAAAACATTCCATGCTCATGGATCGGAAGAATAAATATAGTTAAAATGTCATTACTACCAAAGCAACCTACACATTCAATGCAATCCCAATCAAAATTGTACCAGCATACTTCTCAAAACTAGAACAAACTATCCTAAAATTTGTATGGAGCCACAAAAGACCCCGAATGTCCAAAGTAATATTGAAGAAGAAAACCAAAACGGGAGGCATCACCATCCCAGACTTGAGCCTCTACTACAAAGCTGTCATCATCAAGACAGTATGGTATTGGCACAAAAACAGACACATAGACCAATAGAAAAGAATAGAGAACTCAGAATTGGACCCAAAAGTGTACAGCCAACTACTCTTTGACAAAGCAGGAAAGAGTATCCAATGGAAACAAGACAGCCTCTTTAACAGATGGTGCTGGGAGAACTGGACAGCAACATGCAGAAGAATGAAACTAGATCATTTTCACACACGATACACCAAAATAAACTCAAAATGGATAAAGGACCTGAATGTGAGACAGGAAACCATCAAAACCCTAGAGGAGAAGGCAGGAAACAACCTCCTTGACCTCAACTGCGGCAATTTCTTACTTGACACATCCCCAAAGTCAAAGGAATCAAGAGCAAAAATGAACTATTGGGACCTCATCAAGATTAAAAGCTTCTGCATGGCAAAGGAAACAATCCATAAAACTAACAGGCAACCGACGGAATGGGAACAGATAGTTGCAAATGATATGTCAGATAAAGGGTTAGTCTCCAAAATCTATAAGGAACTCACCAAACTCCACAGTCAAAAAACGAACAATCGAGTGAAGAAATGGGCAGAGGACATGAATAGACACTTCCCCAAAAGGATTCCCAGATGGCCAACAGATACATGAAACGATGCTCAGCATCCCTCCTTATCAGGGAAATACAAATCAAAACCACACTGAGATACTACCTCACGCCAATCAGAGTGGCTAAAAGGAGCAAATCAGACGTCTCTAGATGCTTGCGAGGATGTGGAGAAACGGGCACTCTCCTACATTGTTGGTGGGAATGTAAACGGGTACAGCCCCTCTCGAAAACAGTGTGGAGGTTCCTCAAAAAATTAACACCAGAACTCCCCTATGACCCAGCAATAGAACTTCTAGGAATTTACCCAAGGGATACAGGAGTGCTGATGCATAGGGGCACATGGACCCCAATGTTCATTGCGGCACTCTCAACAATAGAGAAAACATGGAAAGAGCCTAAGTGTCCATGGATGGATCAAGAAGATGTGGTTTATCTATACAATGGAATACTACATGGCAATGAGAAACAGTGAAATCTGGCCATGTGTAGCAACGTGGATGGAACTCGAGGGTATTATGCTGAGAGAAAGAAGTCAGGCAGAGAAGGACAGCTACCATATGTTTGCACATATAGGAGGATTAGGAGGAACTGAACAGAGGATCGTGGGGGAGAAGAAGAGGGAAATAGTGGGGAGAGAGAGGGAGGCAAACCATGAGGGACTCTCGAGTGCTGAGAACAAACTGAGGACTGATGGGTATGGGGGAGAGGGGAAGGAGGGTGATGGGCATGGAAGAGGGCACTTGTGGGGATGAGCACTGGGTGTTATATGGAAACCATATAAACTATGACAATAAACTATTTAAAAAATAAGGAAAAAGGAAAACAAGCAGACATATCATACAACACACAAAACAGACACAATGCCTGGAGAGGGCATTGGACAGAAAAATGAGGGTTTTCTAAAAGAGTTACAACTGAAAATTCCATAGCATTTATCTTATCCTTCTTGGCCCTTTTGGTAGAGACAGTGTTGTCAGTCACGGGAGCAACATCTGGATCTGCAAAATACCCTAGAAGGGATGGAGGTTTATTCTGATTTGAGGAGACTGTGCAGAGTTAAAAAAAGAAAAACCCTCCCCTCATTCCTCAAACATCTTAAACTCTTTGGCCCAGTCGGATCCCAAGTCACATGCAGCAGGTATTCCACATGCTTCAGGTGATCTCAAGGCATAGGGGAGAGCCACCCCTTAAACCTTGATGAAGACCCATGATGGCCCTGGTTCAGGTGTTTTTATAACTCATCAAACAACTGTGGATGGCTGCGGGCTCAACTGGATGGATATACATTAGGTTGAGCCTCAGGCCTCCCACAGCCCAGCACATGGACTGTGTACAGCACACATCTGCTGAAGTGCTATGTCTGCTTCTCTGTATACAGCCTCATTCCATCTCAACAAGAGACACCTGTACCAACACAGGGTGGGGGAAATGACATAAAGATGATATGTCAATCATGAGAAACTCAAGGAATGTGGTAATGGTGGCAAGCACATTTCCCTTGCATCACAATGCTCTGTGGCGCTACCTATGCACCTTGTCCAAGACTCAACCCAACAAAAATTAGATGAAAATACTTTGGAAGTCAACTTATCGTGCTCAGATCATCTTACCAAGTGGTGCAGGTGGAGGGATTCAGTGTGGTCCTTAGGGCCACCAAGGTTCAGGAGGTGGATGTGTCCAGTAGCCCACGGGGGAGCCTCTAGGGTAGGGCATAGAGGAGGTCCCCATGGATCCACATGCCCTGCAGAACAGAAGTAAAAGCTATGTACATATGCCAGACAAGAGAACCAATACCAAAAGCAGCTGAAACCCTGAGAAGAATGTGTCACCACCTGCCACCTTCTTTGCCACCAGGGTCCAAGAGAGTAGCATCAGTATCTGAAAACTGTATCCCTGCCACTGGGTACCACTTATAGTTTAGGCAAATAAATGCAGGAGGTTAAACTATTGACACCATATGTCCCTGCCGATGTCTGTGAATGTAGAATAAAATGATTCCATCTTTTAGGATTAAGAGGAGTAATTCCAAACTAATGAAGTAGCATATTCCAGACAGGCAGACATCTATGTCTAGGATCACCCTGCATCCCTTCACTACAATGACTGTAGAGGCTCTGTTTTTGGCATATTCAGAACACACACACACACACACACACACACACACACACACACAAATGGAGTGCAAATAAACAGCTCATTCTCTGCACATGAAATTACAGCTACTATTGGGGAAAAGTTCTGCCTGCTGGCCCCTCATTTTGTCCCCTCTGCTTTCCTCCCTGAGAAAGGGCTCTTCCCCCTCTCTGGAAGTGCTGTCAAAGGCCTAAGAGGCTACTGGGGAGTTGGGGATGCCTGGAGTCTTGCAAAGGAACTTAGAATGCACTTGCTGTGAGGAACATATTACTTATCAATGTGTACTAAGCCCATTATTCATGTGTTTATCTGAATTCATAAAGAACAATGATTTTGAGCACACTACATGATGCAGAGTAATACATCCTATGGGAAAAAAAAGAGGTAGAAATTCATGTAACAGAATGAATGCAAATGTGTTTTGATTTTGGTATAAATTCCCAGGGATGTGTCAGCTCTAACACTGACTGGAGACACAATAGAACTTTCTTGTGTACAGAACAATTTTTACTTAAGATACAGCTAGAAGGATTCCAAACAGCTCATTTACCAGCCAAGATGTGAAGGTAGTAAGTTATGACAATGACTTTGTTTAAGACCATTCTAAATTTTACAAGGCACACAATAGAAAGATGGAGGGAAGTCTTTTCGCATTTCCAATTAACAGACTGTCTTAACACATTAAGCGCATGACCAGAAAGAGGAAAACAACAACAACACTGATCCCACAGAGAGGCGGTATGGTAGGAATCAACAAGCCTAGAGACTTATACTGGAGTGCAGTGCATCTTCCTGGTGTTAGTTCCAGAACATGTGGGGAAATCCATAAGCTCCTCAACCTCTAAATTCCTTTGGCTACTAAATGTACCAGAAAAAGATGACAGGCTGAAAAGAGAGAAACCTGTAGACTTGGGTTAAGGCTGTGCATTTGGAAAATAGAAACAGGCAGACATATTGCATAACACATAAAACAGGGGAAAGGCCGCAGAGCATGCTCTCCAGCAAATGAAGGTTTCCCTATAGACTTACAACTGAAGTGGCCCCAGCATTTACCTTTTTGGCATTTTTGGTAGAGTGCTTGTTCTTGTGACTCATGGGAGAGACATCAGCTTCTGAATCAGCTAAAGGCTCTAGAAGGCTTGGAGGTTTAGTGTGATTTTAGTAGACTGTGCAGGATTCTAACAAACACCACGTTCTGTGACATCTTAAACTTTTCTCCACACTCAGGACCATGAGAAGAGGCAGAGAGTAACCCACAAGCCTCAGGTGACCCCAATGATAGACAAGAGATCCATCCCATCATCTTAATGAAGAAACCATTGGGCCCTGGTTCATGTCCTTCATAATTTGTCAAATAACTTTTGACAGGTCAGGTTTTCAGGGAAATCTGGAAAGTGTCACCAAAACAGCCATTTCTCAATATTCATTAGGGGTAATAACTCACCATCTTGTTACAGATAGGAATTAAAATGAGAATGTCAATTGTGGATAACATCAGTAAGTCCTCAAAAGAAGAGCATGGGTGTGTTTCTTCTGGCTCCAGGTAAATTGTTCAATCTTTCAGCTTATCTATAGGCTGCCTTCCACTTGGGACCAGGTATTATATAACTATTTCCAAATACAAATGTACTGAGACTAATATTATAGTCAAGAGAGAGGATCAGGCCCTGCCCCTTGAAGAAGATTCCACAAGGCCCTGGTTTAGGTGTTTTCATAACTGATCAAGCAACTGTGAACAGTTCAGGTCTCAACTAGCTAAAAATAAAGTTAGGGGTGTATCTCATCCCTCAGAGAGCCCAACACGTGGTCTCTGTACAAGCTACATCATAAAGAGTGGTATGCCTGCCAACATTATAAGGTCTGTTTCTTCCCTATAAGGGACACGCGCTGTCCAGCTCCCTATGTGGAAATGACAGCCCATTTCCTGCATGTCCTGTGAAACATGAAGAACGTTTTAACATACTCAGGCTGACCTGAAAGCCCTGGGGTGACATTACCTCATCTCCAAAAAGCCAACAAGAAAAAAGATGAAGTGTGTTTTATTAGTCAACTTATACTATAAGAAGTAGTCACCTTACCAAATGGTGGAGGTGGAGGTGGAGGGTGAGGTCACAGAGCCCACTAGGATGGAGAAGGTGTGGTGGGCTGATAGCCTATGAATGGTGATAAAGGGCAGCCCATGGGATAGGGCATGGAGGGCACTTCTGGAAAGGAGGAAATGCTCTTGCAGCCACATTGACCTACAGGACAGAAATTAAACTTTTGAGATATGTTCGTGTAAAAGGTGAAAAATCCAACACTGACACCAACATAGCTGAACGCCAATGAAGCAGGAACAGTGCCTGTCTCTTTCCCCTCCACCTGGTTTCAATAAGGCAGCATCAGTGCCACAAAGCTCCACCTTTCCCACTGGGTCCCACTTAGAACTTCTCTAGGAGTTTGAGGAGACAGGGCAGTACATTTCTGGCAGCATGCATGGTACTGGCTGTGTCTGCAAGTGTAGGAAGGAAGTGACCAGTCCTAGAGGAGCGGAGAGATAATTCCAGACTCCTAAAGAATATCTGTTCCACACACACAGGCATCTATTTCCAGAACTGCTCTCCACTCAGCCCTTCGCCAGCTCAATAGCTCTGCCTTGGCATATTCAGAGCAGATAAAGGATGGGGAATTACGGTTTCATATCATTTATTTAAATCTTCAATCCATCTCCCGTTAATTCTTGTGAGTGATTTAACCCCGGTGACTCATGAGAGAAGCTTCTACAGGCCTTTCATGCCCGAGCTCTGATTCTCAGAACTCTGCAAGGTAAGTATGGCTACCTGGCTCTAAATGTAAGGAAACAGGCTCTAAGACGAACGAACGAGGGTCGAACAGTTTCCCAAAGGTGAAGTAGGAATTGATACCAGCTCTGCCTGCAAGGTCCTGCTGGCAGTCTCTACTCACCTGGCTCCCTCTCTGGATGTGCTGCCCTAAGGCACAAAGATCTATGGGGAGATGACTCCCTAGAGCCTTCCAGGGGAATTGGGAAAGTGTTTTCAGCAGGAACAGTGTCACGTACAGGAGTTAGTTAGGAAAAGTTATAGATACATGTGAATTCACAGGTAATGCCAAATTTTACATACATTATGGAGTACAGACTAATTTTGTCCCGTGGAAAAATGTTTGAAATTTGAAATTACAGAATTAAAATGAATATATTCTGTTATCAAAGCGGAAAAGACAAATAAAGGATGAATAGAAGATGCCAGCTATAACAGCTACACTGTCCCAAAAGAACCTGGTTACATGGACATGGCATCAGCTCTTTTTCAGAAACTGGCGCAACGTGCCTGACTTTCACTCTCTATTCGTTCAGTTCCAGTGTACATTTTCTATTGCAAATATGTCTTCCCTGATAATTTGTAATATTTTGACTACTTGAACAACTGCAGTGACTCTCCAAAAGCACATTTCCCAAAAGAGATCGGAAAGTTGATGAAATGTAAAATTTAAGGGAATAAAAACTTTGAATAAGAGCTAAGCACGCCTCAGATAGTTGGGCTTTGCATCTTTTTCAGTTACTGAGGATTACAATTGATGTTGTCAACAGGTTAATGACTAACTCTGGACAGAAAAGGAATAAAATAACAACAGTAATGCTGTTTCAGTTTCCAGGAACTTTCCCATGAAAGGAGGTCTGGAAGAAATGAGCCAGGCCAGGAGACCTGTGTGAAGTATGAAGTAGAGGTGCCGTCCTCCTCATGTTATTTCCACAAACACTCAGTGACTGCCGTATGGTCCTCAGCCTCTAAACACTTAGGTCTTCTGGAAGTACCACCAAAGATGATGACAAGCTAAGAATAGAGAGGCCCGTAGGCTCTTGGGAAAGAGTTTTACTTTTTGTAAAGTAAATAACACCATAGATCTATCTCCGAACACACAAACTGGAAAGGAGACCAGGAGAAATAGCTGTATAAAGAGATAAAATGTTCCAGGGAGAGAGAGAGCTACCACTGAAAATAGTCACATCATTTTCCTTGACCTTCTCTCTGTCATAACACATGTTTTAAGCCTCTCTGGTGACACACACTCGTCTTGGCAATATCTGACTTCTTCTCTAAGCCTTGACTTCTTGACAGTCTCAGATAGTGCCTTGATCTGTACATTTCCCCCGAAAGGCAGGTTATGCCGAAATACTCCTGCCACTGGCTTCTGAAACATTTCTGACCAGAGTTAATCTCATCCATGTCTCCCTAATTGTCTGATTTTTCCTCTACCTGGTCACTTGTCTCATTTGGTGGCAACTCAATCTGTGCTGTCCCTTAGGATGCAAACAAGGAAAAGTCACTGTAAAGAGTTAAGGGACTAACTAGACCAGATAAGTCAATGTCTTTACTTGTAGCTGAATTAGAAACCACACTGAACAGCTGTATTAAGAAAAGATCACAGGGCCCCTGGGTGGCTCAGTAGGTTGAGCATACAACTCTTGATTTTGGCTCAGGTCATGATCTCATGGTTTGTGAGATGGAGCCCTGCATCAGGCTTTTGAATCTTAAAGATTCAAAAAGAAAAGACTACAAGGAAAATAGAAGCCTGAAATCTTACCTTCATATACTCCAGTCTTTACCTAGAAGAGGGATAAACAAAATTAAATTTAATGCAGAAACAATATTTTTTATAAAAGTATAGTTCGTGACAAAAAAGTCAAAATCACAACCCAATGTGGTATTATAATACAGCTGTGGTTCAGCAAAATAAATTACTTTTTAAGTGTTTCAATTCTAGTACAGTTAATATACAGTGTCATATTTGATTCAGGTGCACATATAGTGATTCAGCAATGCTGTACATTACTCAGGGTTTTTCATGGTAAGTGTACTCTTTAATCCTCATCGTCTATGTCTCCCATTCCACCCCCCCCAACACTTTCTTCTCTAAAGTTAGGAATCTGTTTCTTGTTACATCTCTCTCTTTTTTCCCCCTTTGCTCATTTGTTTTGTTTCTTAAATTCCACATATGAGTGAAATCATATGGTATTTATCTTTCACTTAGCATTATATGCTCTATAGCAATCCATGTTGTTGCAAATAGCAAGATTTCATTCCTTTTTATGGCTGAATAATAATCTATTGTGGATATATATATGTATATATATATATATCACTTCTTTATTTTGCTGACAAACACTTTGTAACTATGTTTTAATAGTAAGAATTTATAAGGCAATGAAAAATAGAAGAATTAAGAAAATGAAAACCTATAGTAGATAAGAAGTCAATGACTTCTGTTGTCCATTCACAAAATACCTGGATAAAATCCTTCGGAATATCTCCAGAATATGCCCAAAATTCATGGAAAAAAAGGGAGAAAGTAAAAACAAAAAATGTACTAGAGATACAAATGAGATTGTTCTATAGTAAGATGTTTACAGGTACAGATATATCTGAGAGAGATGGGCAGCTGATATTATAATATGGAATTATTATTACAACAAAAATAAATTACACATTATTGTTCACTTTCAAAAAACATTGATGTTTTCTTTCAATGTTCACTTTGATTCTGAATCACAGCTCAAAATGTCAGATTTCTGAGGCACATAAAGATTTGCATAATCAGGTGATCTTGTATATTTTGATTATATCTGTGGGATTTTAAGTTACTTGAACATACACCTCCAAATAGCCAACAAAAGGAATTCATGTTTCTATTTCATGGTTTTGTGCCAAAATCAACCAATAGCAACTCTGAAAATTGATTTCTAAAAGAATACAAAATTCCTGGAAATGGTCACCCAAACGACAGAACACATATCGTTCTACAAAAACTCGACTTAGAAGTATTTTAGGAGCAAAACATGCAAAATGCAATTCATACTAATTAACATACAAAGCTTAATTTTGTGCAGATGAACTGTCTGGAAAGTAGCCTCAAAAATCTATAATGTTTTCATCTTCAGCTCTCAGAGATGAGGTCGCAAAAACGTGTAATGGTGGGAAATATATACTGCCTTTCAGTAGCCACTATTTTTTTTTAATTTTTTTTTTGAAATGTTTTATTTATTTCTAGGAGACAGAGAGAGAGACAGCGTGAGCAGGGGAGGGTCAGAGAGAGAGGGAGTCACAGACTGAAACAGGCTCCAGGCTCTGAGCTGGCAGTCAGCACAGAGCCTGACGCGGGGCTCGAACCCACAAACCGCGAGATCATGACCTGAGCGAAAGTCGGATGCTTAACCGACTAAGCCACCCAGGCGCCCCTAGTAGCCACTCTTTTAAAGAAAGCAGCAGCTGGGGCGCCCGGGTGGCTCAGTTGGCTAAGCGTCCGACTTCGGCATCCCCTCAGATGTAACTTGAATCGATCTTCTGCATGACATATCATGATGAAACTGGCAAAATATAAGGATAAAGAGAGAATTCTGAAAGCAGCTAGGGATAAAAGGGCCCTAACATACAAAAGGAAACCTATCAGAGTAGTTGCAGACCTATCTACTGAAACTTGGCAGGCCAAAAAGGAAATCTTCAATGTGATGAACAGGAAAAATACGCAGCTAAAAATCCTTTATCCAGCAAGCCTGTCATTCAGAATAGAAGGAGGGATAAAGGTTTTCCCAAACAAAGAAAAATGGAAGGAATTCGTCACCGCTGAACCAGCCCTGCAAGAGATCCTAAGGGGGACTCTGTGAGGGAAATGTAGCAAGGAACAAAAGGCACCAGAGACACCACTACAAGCAGGAATCCTACAGAGAACACAAAGACTCTAAACCCATATTTTTCAATAACACTGAATGTAAATGAACTAAATGCTCCAATCAAAAGACATAGGGTGTCATAATGGATTAAAAAACAAAATCCATCTATTTGCTGTCTTACAAGAGACTCATTTTATTTTTTTTCTGAAATAGTTTATTGTCAAGTTGGTTTCCACACAACAGCCAGTGCTCATCCCAACAAGTGTCCTCCTCCATGCCCATCATCTCCCTCCCCTATCCCCACCCCCATCAGCCTTCAGTTTGTTCTCAGCATTCAAGAGAAGAGACTCATTTTAGACCTGAAGACACCTTCAGACTGAAAGCAAGGGGATGGAGAAAAATCCACCATGCTACTGGAAGTCAAAAGAAAGCTAGAGTAGCCACACTTATATCAGACAAACTGGGCTTTAAAGTAAAGGCAATAGCAAGGGATGAAGAACGGCATTCTATAATAATTACAGGGTCTATCCATCAGGAAGAGCTCACAATTGTAAATGTCTACGCACCGAATTCAGAAGCACCCAAATACATAACACAATTAGTCACAAACAGAAACAATCTTATGGATAAGAATGTGCTAATAGCAGGGGACTTTAATACTCCACTTACAACAATAAATAAATAAACAAGAAAGAAAATCACAAAAGAAAAAATGAACATGAATGACACATTGGACCAGATGGATCTGACAGATATATTTAGAACTCTACATCTTGAGGCTATGAGTTCACTTTCTTCTCGAGTACACATGGTACATTCTACAAGATAGATCACATACTGGGACATAAAGCAGCCCTCAATAAATATAAAAGAGTTGAGATCATACCATGAACACTTTCACATCACAATGCTATGAAACTTGAAATCAATCACAGGGAAAAGTCTGGAAAACCTCCAAAAACATGGAGGTTAAAGAACACCCTACTAAAGAACGAATGGGCTAATCAGGCAATTAGAGAAGAAATTTTAAAAATAAATGGAAACAAATGAAAGTGAAAATACAACAATCCAAACTCTTTGGGATGCAGCAAAGCCAGTCCTAAGAGGAAAGTATATTGCAACCGAGGCCTATTTCAAGAAACCAGATAAAGCACAAATAGAAAATGTAACAGCTCACCTAAATAAACTAGAAGTAGAAGAGCAAGAACACCCAAAATCCAGCAGAAGAAGAGAAATAATAAAGATCAGGGCAGAAATTAACAATATAGAGACCAAAAAGATAGTTGAACAGATCAATGAAACCAAGAGTTTGTTTTCTGAAAAAATAAACAAAACTGATAAACCTCCAGCCAGGCTTCTCAAAAAGAAGAGAGAGCACCCAAATAGACAGAGTCATGAATGAAAATGGATTTATTACAATCAATCCCTCAGAAATACAAGCAATTATCAGGGAATACTATGAAAAATTATATGCCACCAAACTGGACAACCTAGGAGAAATGGACCAATTTCTAAACACACACATACTACCAAACTTCAGATGGGAAGATATAGAAAATCTGAACAGACCCATAACTAGTGTAGAAATTGAATAAATTATCAAAAATCTCCCAAGAAGTAAGAGTCCTGGGCCAGATGGCTTCCCTGGGGAATTCTACCAGACATTTTTTTTTTTTTTTTTTTTACAAATAGTTTATTGTCAAATTAGTTTCCACATAACACTCAGTGCTCATCCCCACAAGTGTCCTCCTCCATGCCCATCCCCCCCC